ATTATAGTGACGCAGATTGATATTCGTGGCGCAAAAAATCTTTAAAATTAGAAAATTAAAATTCCCATTATTTATGGCCAGCACTGTATTTCCTTCGAAAGAAAAAATACAATGAAAATATGATAAAATGAAAACTTTTCACATGCATGAATTAAACGTGGACTTTGGAACATTAAAAAACTTTCAAACTTAATAGAAAATTAGTATCAAATGCACTTATAGAATCGTATGAAAGTGCCTGCCAGATAACGATGCCAAAAAAGAAACCAATACTAATGAAAATGTATTAAGAACAAAAAGCTGTCTATCTATTAGAAATAATCAGAGCTACGAATATTTTCTGTTAGGCAAATATCGAAATTGGTGAATAAATTTACTTTTGAAAAAGGAAAATTGCAAGAATCGTCGTCGATACTTTCAACGAAGATTATAAGAGTCCATGTAAACTACCGTCCCCACAAAAGGCAATAAGTCAAAGGAACTTCCGTTTAATCACTCGCTCCATCGCATACACATGTTCTAAATATATTAAATGACCGTAATGTCCTTTTTAAACTTCTATCTTTTTCAGATTGTTGGCGTACTTGAAACTCAATTGATTCTGAATCGATTCGCGCTTCATTATCTGTTACTGACATTGATCGACTATCCATGTCTGAAACAGTTAAGTGACGAGGTTTTCCCTTTCCACGCAAAAAAGAAAACATTAGAGACTTTCGTCCGTGATTCGATTTCGGCAGGCAGGAGTTTGGTGCGCTATCGGAAGTTACCTCCCTAGCTGAATCCTGCGAATATATATTTGATCCAAAGTTAGAGTGATGAACTTGGTGAACACTAAATTCGCCTTCATCATCGTCTACACTCATTACTATTATCTCTGACTCTTTCTGAAATTTTGTAAATATTAGCAATTAGCAAGATTACTTGAGATTAAGAGTAAAAATCAATAATTTGTCCATTGCAAAACAACATATATTAGATTTCCAAAACGAGATGTAATACTTCTTATTTACCAATTCTTTATCCGACTCCGATTTTTCATCTGCTTCCAATTCTTGCCGTATGCTTTCTCGCATTCGAGCTCGATATTTATCAAACTGGAATGCAAATAATAGATAGTTAATTACATAATGTGAGAAATTCCGATATTTGAATATTTAACAACCTGGTCAATTAAATCCGCCGAAAACGAATATGTATATCGATCAGATAGTCTGGTTCCAATGTCTTCATCACGAGATCGAGGTGCGGCCTGAAGTACATCAAAATGATCTTTTGTTTCTATAAAATCACATTGAAGTGTTCTATTAGAAGATTCACCGGTTGAAGAAGAAGCAATAACGTGTGGATCTTCGTATGTCGTTGATTCTTCGTCATACATTTTTTATTTAATTTATCGAGAAGCGTATTATTTAATTCGAAGTTTCAAATATTGGTAGATATAGTTATTAAGATATAAGACGCCAAATTTCTTGTCAAAGGAAATTTTTACTTATTTTCGCTGCCATAAGAAAAAAATCTGTTTATTTTAAAAGAAGTATTTTTTTAAATCTGCTTTTTGATGTATCTATAACCAAGGATTTGTTTATTTTGACTTGCCAAAACGAAATATAAATGCTATATAAAGTATTATAGAACAAATGTTAATGTGACAAGATGAGATTACGAGAGCACGAGGAAAGAAAAATAAAGAAGAAAATTTTTGTTAGTCTTACTATAAAGAAAACGAAAAGCAGGTACAACGGAAAAAAATCCAATTAACAAAAACTCCTTTTAGTCAACAAGGGATTCTATATTACGAAACCAATGTAACATCGCAGATCCGTACCTGTTCATTTACTAAGTTCCCATGATCTATTTAATGATGCGTAATACATTGCTAATCACAAATAAAAAAGGAAAATCTTTTTTCGCCATTGTATCCTGACTTTCACAGTGGTGGCTTTATCGTTTTTTCTACTTTATTTCCGTTTATAAATTGGTATTAGTTCCGGCGTAATATATACATTTGTATACGTAGGTTATTCAGCAAAACAATGCGCATGAAATCAGACGTGAGAAATCAGGAAATATCCCGTTAAAAACAAGCCAAAAAGTTCAATTTAGGAAACCAAACAATTTAATCCATTGTCTTAAAAAAAATCAATACATACATTTTCGTTTTAGTGGTGTGATGAACAGAACTTTTCTCCACATTTTGTGTCCCATGACAACGGCAGAATCTACATTCTTCCAACTCTAAACGTCAGCGTTAATTCCAGAATCCCCATCCCATACAATCGAAAGAATTCTGGATAATTAGTATCAAAAGAACCGACATAAAAGTTCATATCGAATAAAAGTACTTGTACGTATGTACATAAAAACATTCTCCCGGGAGTGCATATGTAAACACATATATGTTAGTGGCCTCTAATTTTACAAGAAAAAGCAGGTTTGTTTTTCTTTCGTGGTACCTGCCTAATTTAAATTTATTTTACGTACCAATTTCAAGTCTTAATGTGTTTACGCTTACGAACTTTCATTGATAATCTATCAAGAATAGGGCAAGTTTCCAAATAGGGATTTTCATTTCCAAGGTTTAAAAATCTCATCTTTGCATTTGAAAAAAAAATGTGATTGATCGATAAATATTTTAGGTTTCTGAAAAAGTAATTAAATTAAAAATAAATTTGAAATAATAAAATAAATTATAATAAATTATACATATATTTATATATTATAATATAATTCTAAACAATATATAAATAATAGTATAATTAACTATAGTAATGAACTGCAAGCAATAATCTTTAACTTCAAACTTTTTAAGTAAATAAATAATAAAAAGAGCAATTTTCTTTATTTTCAAAGTTATACTTAGAGATATAATTTAAAACAAATGTTTAAGATAGAATAGTTTATACAATATAATATAAAATAAAACCAAGTTATCTATTCTATTATATCATAAGATTAAAAACAAAAGAAGAAAAAAGTAATTAATATATTATATATCTTAAAGATTTCATATTAATTAACATAATAACAATATAATAAAAAGAATTTATACTAAATACAACATTTTTAAATTTATTAAAAATCTTACAAATACAAAATAGATAGTCAAATAATATATATT